AAAGAGAAATATCGGCTAGTCCTTATTTCGTGGTTTCATGTTGAAACGGGGCAAAAGCTCTTCTACCGTTCAGACTTTGTAAACGAAGGAGTCACTAATCACCATCTACTCAGGTAATTCTATGTTTCATAAGATACCCACATCTGTCTTATCAAACAGAAATATAGAAAAAAAAATAAAACGACAACGAAATGCTCTGAGCACCTGGGCACATGTCAATATCAAGTGCTATATAAGGCCATAGTTCCAAGTAATGTCACTTCATCAGTCCCAAGATGAAGCTCATCATTCTTTGTGGGCTTCTCGGCCTCGCTTTGGCCAGTCTGCCAAGCTACGGAAGACGTGATATCAACGAAGTTGAATTCCGTGCTGAACGTGAATTCCGCTATCAATTTGATGGACAACTTTCCACTGCTTTGCCTATCTCTGAATCCCAAAAAGCTATCACTCGCATTCAATCCCTTGTCACTGTTCAACCTGAATCTTCTGAATATTGGTTCCGCATGCAATTGAGAAACCTCCGTTGGGCTACTAGCCAAGAACAATTTGACTCCCTCAGAGTTCAACCTTTTGAGGAGATGGAACAAGTTGAGCTTGACAAGGTTTGGAGAACTTTTCAAACTTTTTCACCACCCTATTTCAAGGAACAACAACGTCTTCTTACCCTTCCAATCCGTTTCAACTACAAGCATGGTCTTGTTGGAGATATCGAATTCGACGGTGAAGACCAAGTCTGGTCTAGAAACATCAAGAAGTCCATCATCAACATGCTCCAAGTAGGATATGAAGAAGCGTGTGCCGCATTACTTATTTTGTTCTCTTTAGCTCAACTACATCAAGAAGGGAGTTGAAAGCCGCGAGATGACCGAGGAAGAGACTACCTACAAGAACGATTACTTCACCACCGTTGAGGTAAACTGATATTCTCAGACTGTGCCAAATAATTATTTTAGCGTACCCTCGAGGGAGAATGCGAAGTCGTTTACACCAGAATCGAAGAGTCCAAGGAATTCGAGCAATGGACCAAGTCTGTTAACTTCGAGAAGTGCACTGTCCGCCCAGAAGTTCGTTATGGACGTCGTTTCGTCGAGAAGTGCGAAGAATGCCAAAAGACCGTCTCTGACGAGAAGCTCTCCTCCACTGTCATGACCTTCAACGTTACTCGTGGACAATCTGAGAACAAGTTCCTCATCCGTGATGTTGAACTCCGCTCCCAACACTTGTTCGCTCCAGTTTCTGAGAAGAACCAACTTCTTGTCAGCTACGTTTACAACAAGCTTAACCTCATCTACGCCGGAGAGGTTGAGAAGACCATTGAAAAGATCAACGGAGAAGAGAAAGAAACCCTTATCTACAACTCCGAGATGGAAATCGCTGAGGAGAAATTCGCCATGACCGGAGATGAGAAGTACCTTCGCCATATCCCAATGTGGTCCAACAAGGTTGAAATCATCAAGAACATCTTCAACAAGATGATGAAGGATATTGAATCTGGAGTTGAACTCGAGACCACCCACCTT